TGAGGCGGGGCACCCCTGAGCGACCCCACACGAGATGCACGCGAAGTGAATCGCGGCGCCCACAGCGCGCGCGCTCGCCGCGGGGGGCCAATAGAGGGAGGAGAGCGCGCGCAGAAGCCCGCCCTCGAAGCATGGCCATCATCCAGTCACCCATCAGCGACGGGAAAGCATCGCCGAAGCCGAAGAGGGCCATGACGGGTTTGAGCGAGTCTTTGCCATCCTGGAAGCCAGCCGCGCGCGCGGCGCCGTCGAGGAGGGCCACATTGTCCAGGAAGTTGCGGCCCTCGAGGAAGCCCCTCTGAGGGGCAGGAGAAGCCCGCTCCACCGCGCCCTCGGCGCTGGCGTTCGCGGCGGCGGCGACGAGCTTGCAGTCGGCATTCTTGAGCGCAACTGCGCGAGCGGTGCAGGGGGCCCTGCACTCGCCTTCAACGAGGCCCCCGTCAAGCGAGCCCTTGGGGGGGAAGGCCAGCAGGTGATCGTTCCAGTCGGCAGGAGGGGCGCGCCCCATCGCGATCTCGAGCACCACCTCCTCGAGCACGCCAACGGCAGCAGGGCGGCAGCGCTGGGCAAAGCAAGGCAACCCGTCGGGGCCAGGCGCGGACCCCTTGGCTCTGCACACCGCGCGCGCGAGAGCAAACCGATCAGGCGGGAGGATCTCCGCCACCGGCAGCTTGGGAGCGCGAACCTCGATGCGCTTCTGCGAGAGCCGCCCCCGGTCGGCGACCTTGGGCTTCGCCTGAAAGATGGGGGCCCAGTGGCCCTTCAGCGCCTCCTCCATGTCGGACGGCTCAGTCAGCACCTCGCCATCCTCAACGCCAGGGAGCTCGACGCCCTGCAACTTGAGCGAGCGGCCGAAGGGCGCCCAGAGCGCCGCGCGATTGGACAGCTTCCTGCGGAGCGCGCTGAGCACCCTGGAGGAGGCGGGGTCGAACGCCTTCGCCCCCCGAGCAGCTAGCGAAGCAGTCCTCGCCTGGAAGTGCAACTGCTGCTCCGTCGCGAAGTCCGGCGCAAACGCGCGCGCGGGGGGGGGGGGGGCGCAAGTTGACCTGGGAGCCCGCGACGGCAATGCGCTGCGAGGCGAGGTCGCAAGTCAGCAGCAGACGTCGACCCAGTTGAACATCGCCACGCCAGACCGCTCGGCAGATCGAGCGGAACACCATCAACTTGTTCTCACCACTGGGGCGCCGCAGCCGCAGATCACGAACATGCCGAGCGGCCGCCCGCATCAGAGCTTCACGCCGCCGCCGCTTCGCGTATATGGACAGAGGCTGCCAGCCCACCATGCCGCAGGGGCGCTCATACTGACGCTTGAACTCAGGGCCCTTGAAGATGTGCAACGGGATGCGCCGGCAGTCAGCGGGGGTAGCACAGCGCGCCGAGAAGGAACAGAATACAGGCGCGTGGTCACTGAGCCCTCTCTCGTTGAGCACCTAGGGCATGGCAGGCGTCGCGATCTCGATGTGGTGCTGAAGCGCCTGCCAGCTAGGCGTGGACACGAACGCCTCATCGATATGCGCGAGCTTCGGCTGCCACTCCTGCGAGATTTAGCGCGTCGGCATCTCGTTGTCCAGCTCCATCATGCGCGAGAAGATGTCGCGCCAGAAACGCTCGTGAGCCCGATGTGCCACTTCGCTCTGCGGGCGACGCCGATCAATCTCAGGGGCCCGAGGACACATCGGCAAGTGATTGTAGATGTTGAAATCACCAACCAAGATGACCGTCAAGCGCTCGGGGGTTAGCCCGGCCATCGCCAGGTCGGAGGTGAGCTTCGCCAAGAACGCAGCTCTCCCCCCATTGTCCAACTCGAAGTTGCGACGCCTGAATTCACATTGTCCGCGAGACCAGAGACGCGCACGCGCTGGATGCGCCCAGGAACAAGGACTTCATGCACGAACCGGGCTCTGCGACCAACTTCACCATCGCAAGGTATGAGCAAGGCAACACCACCAGCATCAATTCGGGGGATAGAATCAAAAACTCTGCAGGGAACGTGCATACGATGAAGAGCCTGCTGCAGCTCGGCCGACGTGGCGTGAACCTCTTGGAGCGCCATCACCGAGCCTTTGCGCAACATAGAGGCCAAATACTGGAGCTTGCGTTCGCGGACACCGCCAGCACGCATGTCATGAAGAAGGAGCGCCCGCGCGTTCCACGTGTCGAAAGAGATGGGTTTCGCCGCGAGCGCCCTCGGTCTCCACACCGCGAGCCGCCTGCTAAATTGACCACTGAACTCTGCCCGCCTCACCGTAAATCTCCTCGAACGCCGTCTTGACAGCATTATTGTCCAGACCCGTGTCCGCGACCATGCGGTAGTTCCACTCGAGGACCGTCGGCTGGGACGAAACGTCTGGAACCAAGAGCTTGACGATAGGAGAAGAGCCCTTGTAGATGACGCCCTGTGCACGGTGCGCGCGCCATCAGCCAGGGAGGCCCTGTACCTAGACCAGCTCCAACAGCCGCTTCGTCTGCACCCCCCTCCTGACCATCTGCGCATTCTTGTCTAAGCCGGCGAAGACACACGCGCGCGAGCCCGCAGGAGCGGTGCACGAGAAACGCTTCCATGTGCCTTCGGAATCCTTGAGCTGCCTGAAGGCGTGTTGGACCCGCCTGGCCGCAAGTCCCCCCGCACCGAGGCATTGGAGAAGGAACTTCTACCCAGGCCAGTCACCAGTGAACGTCCTTCGGTCCTCAGAAAAGCCTCCAGCGCCCAACAATTCCTGAAGCGATGCCTTGATCGCGTCCAGACCGACGGGTTCCTTGGTCGAGACCTGGAAGATGGACGGGTTGGAGGCTCTCGTGAAGTTGGCCATGTCGGCGACGTCGATGCCGACAGGGGCCGCCTGCTCGCACTGGCGCACAATCTTCTGCAGCTTCGCCAAGTCAGCCCGCATGTCCCTGTGTGACTGCTCGAGCACGTCCTGGCGCGCGTCCAAGTCACGCACGCGGAGGCCCATCTCCTCATTGAAGGCCTCCTGGCGGTCGGCGAAAGCGCGGATGGCCTTGGCCGTGCTCTCGGTGACGTGCCGCTCCATCTTGGCAGCGCTCTCGCGGACGGACGCGCCCACCGCGGTGGTAATGTCTGCACGAAAGTCCGCGGGGATGTCATTGAGATCACACCTGAGGACGGGGCGCTCATCACGCTGAGGCCGCGAGCCACCAGGAGCGGGAGGAGCAGCGGCAGCAGCAGCAGCAGCAGCAGCAGCAGCAGCAGCGGAAGCCGACGCGCCAGCAGCCGCATCCCGCCACGGGTCGGCGTCCGCAAGCATGTCACGGGCCGCCCGGGCAGGGCGAGGGTTGCGGTTGGCCTTCTGTTTCGTCGAGTCGGCGCCGTCGCCAATGTAGTGATGCCGCGCCGCGCCCTGCCCCTTGCCAGTGCCACTGCGCCCGCTGCGCTGAGAAGCAAAACCAACATCATCAGCGCCACCGGGCATGGGGCCAGCAGGCGACGGGACGGAATACAGTGGAAGGGCACGTCACGCGGAACTTGCGCAATCCAGCCGAAACCAAAGAAAGGTATCCTGAGCACCGCGGGATCGCTCAGTGTGGTGGAGGTGTGGGCCGCGACGCCCACGATGCAAGCCTGAGCGAAACACCCCGAACTTGAGCCAAAATGGCTAGGGATTCACATTCATATATATATATATATATATATACACATACATACATACATACATACATACATACATACATACATACATACATACATACACACATACATACATACATACATACATGCATACATACATACACACCAGGCGCGGCCGTGCTCGCATTCATGCAAGTATACTCACTCGTACGCAGACTCATTCACAGTCAGACCGAATCGCGCTCAGACTCACCCGCGCTCAGTCGCTCGTAATTAGGCATATCGTCTTCGTTCGTGTTGTGTACCCCGCCACGCAATTCGGCGCACCCCTCATACGGTTCGTGGCCCCATAGGGGGCGCCACTGAAAAAGATGTTCACAACTGCGGTACTCACAACTACAGATGGTTGGGGCCTTCGACAGGCTAACTGTTCAGTTAAAGTCCTCATCCCCAGGCTCGCTTCCTGTAAAAGAAAGTCTGTGGTCAACCATCTGTGTGTGTAGGCCCCCGGTTAACATCAACAACGGCTCCCGCCGGATACTTCCCCACAGTGTATTTCAAATTCGCGCTCTCGCGCGGGACTTCCTCATAATTGGTCCAGGAAACGCGCTCTCGCGTGATACCTCCTCCCAATGTATTGCGGCGCCGTGCCGCCCAGACTCACAAATCGCGTTCGCGCTTCGGATTTCCCAGCGACTCATATCGGATCCACGGCATCGCTCGAAATGTCCTTCATAATGGGTTGACGGTGTAGCGACCCGCCCGCTCGACCTGGCCGTCTGGGTTCGTCCGTCCGACCTGCCCTGTAGGGTCCGCCTCCCCGACACGCCAGTCTGGTTCTGCCGCTTGCGCTCCTGATCCCAGCCCTCCTCCTGCGAATTCCCCTCGTGTTCCAACCTTCCCCCCCCCCTTGTCTATTCACTCCTCCCCTCCTTCCCCTGTTTGAGGGCCTGCGCCAACTACACGCGGCAGGTAGGGAAGATATACCCCCAAGAGGGGGCACGATCGAAGACGAAGAGGGCGGGCACCGAAGGTCTGGAATATACGTGTTGAACTACACGCGAGCAAATAAGAGCAAACAGTCCTAACATGATTGTCATCGTCGTCGTCTTGGTCCCCCCCGCGACCCACCCGCGACCCAGCCGCGACGCACCCCGCGACCCACCCGCGACTCGCCCCGCGACCAACCCCGCGAACCACCCGCGACCCACCCGCGACCCACCCCCACCACGCTGACAAAAAATCTGCGCCTGCGGCGGACTCGATGCATTGTGTAGAAGTTCGGCGCCTGCGGCGGGCTTCATCAAATTTGTTTTCGAACCTCATGAACTGCCGACGACCCCCCCCCCGCACCCCAACCCTTTTCCGCAACCGCGGGGAGGACGAGGACTCCGAATGTCTGCCTCCGCTGAACCTCGTAGCCCTTCCTCTTCATGCCCTCCATGGCGGGCGCCAGCTCCGCCGCCTGCTTGCCCTCGCCTGTCACGAAGAAAATATTGTCCTGGCCCTCCTTCTCCTTGGGGGGGACTGCCGCAGACGAGCACCCTCGTGTCAGCAGAGGTGAACGGGCGGGCCGGGGAGCAGGCGGCCGGCCAGAGATACAGGTGCGCGGGGACAGGGGTGGGAGCACGGCCGTGTGCACCACAGGGAATGTTTTGCCTCGGGTTTCGTAAGAAGAACCCCCTTCAGCAAGGCGTGGTTTGGTGAGACGATCTCGGGCCCAAACCTGGCGGGCGCAAACATGGAAAATAACGGCTGCGGCGCCCTTTCGAGAACCGAAAACGGAAAATGCACCAATCGACCCGTCAGGGTGGGGGTTCTGTCCACCCCCGATTACCAGGAATCGTGGCCGTGTCCGGACCAACCACGTAGCCGCCATCGATGCGAGAGCACGCTTCCTGGACGCACTGCAAAGAAATCTCGAGCGATACGGTTGCCGGACTGGACGGTTTTAGGGAGGGGGGGGGGCGGGTTCGGGTTCCCCGTGTCCCCGCTGTGGGGCGCTTCCGTGGCCCCTCCGAACCAATACAAGAAACCCCTGGCGAAGCGCTGCTGGGGAACAGAAGGGCGCGCGTCGTTCATTTCTCAGCGCGCTCAGTTCTGAGTGTGCTCGTTTCGAACTGTTCCCGGCCCCCTAGTGGCCAGGAAGAGGCCCAGGACAGAACAATTCGAAATGAAAGGATCCCGGCCCCCAAAAAACCAAAGAACTCTCGAAGAACTAGAACTGAACAACGTGTACTCCGGATTTTGTAATAAAAGGGAGGGGGGTCTCATTTCGGGGGGGGGTCTCTTCCAGGCTATCTTGGAAGGCCTGGGGGGGTATGGGGACGATGTTTTGGAGGGTTCTCCCACGGGGGGGGTTGAAATGGCTTGTCTTGGAGGGTCCAGACCCCCCCTTTTTATTACGAAATCTGGAGTGGCCACACTGCCCCTCCTCGGACCTCTCCCAGGGCGCGTTCTGGCCAGAGTGCCCGCGAGCAGCCCGCCGTGGCGACCCAGGGGCCCCTCCAGGACGAGCCGCGGCGTCGGCACTCGCGCGTGCTGCCTCTGGCTTAAAAGGGGCCCCAGGACACACAAATAGATACACACAAACAGAAAGAGCACCCATATTCCCCCTTATTTTGGGGGTTCTGTCTTCCCCCCACTGCCCATATGTTTGCGTATTTTCCTGGGGGTCGGCGATTAATTGTGTCTGTGTGCTTCTTTCCCTCCTGATCTGGCTCCTTCATGCGGTCCAGGTACTCGGGCAAGCTGGTCGTGCTGCCGCCGGGCGTCGAGGAGTGGAAGCGGACGAGGCGCTTCAGCTCGCCCCTGTACTCCGGATCCGCCGCGAGGCCAACCTGGGCGGGCCAGAGCGGTAAGCGCCACTGCTGGGCGGCCTCGTCGGGGACTCTGCAGGGCCGCTCCTAAAGCACCCCGAGAGCAACCGACCCCGTCAGCACCATCTCTGCCCTCTCAACCTCGGTGCCTTCTTGGAGAAGGGGGGGGAGGCCTCCTGGGCCGTCTTGCGGACATCTTGGGGTCCTAGCGGTTCGCCGTGAGCTGTTTGGGGCCCACTTTGAAAGGGGTCTCCAGGTGCCCTCTTGGGCTCTCTTGGGGTCCTGCCGAGAGGTTATTGACCCTCTCGGGCCGTATTGAGGGCCTTCTGGAGCTCTCTTACACCATCTTGGGCTCTCTGACAGCATGCGACATTGAATGCAAATATGCCCTCCAAGCCATGCAATTCGGAAGAGCGATCAGACGACGGATGCCGACTGCCATTTTTCCCCAAAGGCAGCTGTGCTGACTGGAACTCGACTACATAGAAGCCGCGGAAGATCCGCCCGAGAGATCTGCCCACATGCCGAACCCAAACCTTCAGAGGTGGTCCAGCCCGTTTCGCCCCAGACATCCTCACAAGTCTCGTTTCTGAATTCAAAGCATTTCCTTAGGGTGGGGGGCTCAAGGTGAAATCCATATGGGCTTTTGCGCCTCGAAGACCAATCCGTCTTGTGATTCACATTTTGCAGATTCAAGCCTCGAAAATCCATCGAAACGGCATTTCAGATTTCACCCTTTGCCCTCCGCCCAAAGAGAACGCTCGGGAATCGGATGGGGTTGGCCCAGCTCGCCCGAGAAGTCCTCGCATATCCAGGTTCCGAGATGCCGCGCGACGGGTGGTCCAGCACGTCTCTCGCCGGAGACACCTTCACAACTCTGGACTCACGGATGCCGCGCGAGAGGTGGTCCAGCCAATTTCGCCTGAGATTTCCCCCTCCTCCTCCTCCTCCTCCTCCTCCTCCTCCTCCTCCTCCTCCTCCTCCTCCTCCTCCTCCTCCTCCTCCTCCTCCTCCTCTTCCTCCTCCTCCTCCGCCCCACCTCCTCGCCGAAAGCCAGAATTGAAGTGGTCGAACCCGTCTCGTTTGAGACATCCTTGCAATTCTAGGCGCCGAGAAGCCGCCCAGGAGGTGTCTCCTCGCAACCCTGGGCTCCGCTTGAGGTGTCGGGGGTGAGGTGGTCTGGTCCGTTTCGCCTGAGGCATCCTCGCAACTCTGGGCTGGCAAATGCCGCGCGAGAGGCAGTCCGGCCGGATTCGCCTGAGACATCATCGCAACTCTGGACTGGCAGATGCCGCGCGAGGTGGTTCGGCTTGACTGGCCTGAAACATCCTCACAACGCTAGACTCCGGGATGGCCCGTCTCGTTTGAGACATCCTCGCTACCCTACGCTCACAGCTGCCGCGCGAGAGGTAGTCCAGCCCATTTCGCCGAAGACATCCTAACAATTCTGGGCTCCGAAATGCCGCGCGAGAGGTAGTCTGGCCTCTTCGTTTGAGACATCCTCGCAATTCTGGTTTCCGAAATGGCCGGGATTGAGGTGGTCTGGCCCGTTTCGCCTGAGACATCCTCGCAACTCTGGGCTGGCAGATGCCGCGCGAGGTGTGGCCTGGCCCGTTTCGCCCGACACCTTGTCGCCATTTTGCTTTCCGAGAGCCCGAGTTGACGTGGTCCGGCCCGTCTCGCCCGAGATATCCTCGCAACCCTGGGCTCCCAAATGCCGCGCGAGAGGCAGTACGGCCCGTCTCGCCCAAGACAGTCTCGCAACGCTGCTTTTCGAGATTGCTGTGGTTGAGGTGGTCTGGCCCGTTTCGCATGAAGCATCGTTTCACCTCTGGGCTCCGGCCGGTTTCGCATGCGACGTCATTGCGCATCTGGGCTCCGAGATGCCGCACGAGAAGTGGTCAAGCCCGTCGCGAGTGAAACATCCTCACAACTATGGGTTCCTAAATGCCGCGCAAGAGGTAATCTGGCCCGTTTCACCTCAGACATCCTCGGAATTCTGGGCTCCGAGATGTCTCGCGTCCGACCCACGCCTAAGACATCTTCACTTCTGGGCTCAGGGATGAAGGATGAGAAGGAGGACGAGGCCTGGCCAAAACGACTTTCCCAGCAGGGGGTCCAACCGCCCCTGGCCAGAGGGAGAAAGGGGGAGAGAGGGAGGATCGGGCGGGGGGGGGGGGAGGAGAGGAAAGCGAAGGATGGGGGGAAGGAAAGGGGGAAGAGAGGAGAGTAAGAGAGGAGAGGATGGGGGGGAAGGAGGAAAGGAGAGGAAGGGAGAGGAGGGAGGCGGGAGGCGGGGACGGGACCACGCGACGGATCTGAGCACGCGCGTAGTATCGAAATGCGCGCCCGGGGGCGGTAAATGCGGGCCCCTGGCAGGGAGGGAACAGGGGCGCAGCCGAGGCCGAGGCGAGAGCAGCCGCTTGCAAGGAAGTTTCGGGCGGGAGCGCCATCCCGAGATAAATGATGAGGGCATCTCCAATATGAGAGGGAGGGTAGGAGGGTGGGAACGGGGAACCATCAGGACGAGGGGGGGGCAAGGAGAACCACGGAGAACAGCACTGGCATCAGGGGCGCGAGGAGGAGAAGAAGGAGGAGAGAAGCGTAGAGAACGAGGCGGGAGAGGAAGAAAGACAATGAAGACGAACAACGGGTGGAAAAGATAATAATTAGACAACACGGGCTTGGCACCATGAGCGGTGGACGCCGTTGGGGGGCACTTCCCGTCACCTTGATGTACTTCCCGTAGATGCTCCAGAACTGGTCGCGCGCGTTGTCGCACAAACCGCCGATCGAGCGCAGCACCTCCCGCACGAGGTGTTCCCGGATGGTTCTCGGCATCTGGCCCCTCTTGAAGGGCAACGGAAAGGGGGGGGGCACTTCAGGGGTGGGGAACATCCATCTGGAATCGGTGATACATCGCCAATGAATCGGCGATCTGCCCCGGGGCGGGCTGGGCTATGGGCACGGCGGGCCATCGGGCCACAGTCGGCGATGAATGGGCGACTGGGGGTCGACGCGTACCGTCCTGACCCCAGCCCCGTCCTTGGCGGCTTTCGGGACATAACTCGGGCGTCTGGCGGCCGCCGGGGACGACCCATGTACCACCGAAGCGCCCTCGGCGAGGCGCAACTGCTGGCACGCACGCCGTATCTATAACACCGCCGAGAACTGACGAAAACGCACGGAAAAACTCGAAACTCCAGAAGCCCGAGCGTCGCCCCTGACCTCCAGAAGCCCGCGTCCAGCGGCACGCCCCGCAGGTCGGCGACGCCGCGCACGAACACCAGCCAGAAAGGCACCAGGCGCCGCCCTCGCTTCCTGTGGAGCTTGCCCTGCAAAAACGCGCCCTGCTGGTAGACCCGCACGCCGCGGCAGCCAGAAAACATGTCCTGGGGCCAACAAAAAAATGATCGGTACCGCTGCGGTGGAACATTGGCAGAAGGCAGAATAACTACCCTTACAATAATGAGCACCCCGAGAAGCGAAGTTGTTAGTAAGCGCGCCCGAGAAAGAGATCGAGCAGGGCACGGCTGTTTTGTAAACGCCAAAGTTACTTAACAAACGTACGTTGTAGAGTTTAGGTGGCTTTTGTTCAGGGGGTCCGCAAGCCCAAGGGGGGCCTACGAAACCACAGGCGGGGCTTACACACCCCAGGGGGGTTCCACATACCGTCAGAGAGTTCTATTCGTAGCAATGGTAACTACTCTTAGGATACTAGTGGTAGTACTAGCAGAAGTAGTCGTCGTAGTAGTAGTAGCCAGTAGTAGAAGTACCAGCAGTAGTAGTAGTAGTAGTAGTAGTAGTAATAGTAGTAGTAGTAGTAGTAGTAGTAGTAGTAGTAGTAATAGTAGTAGTAGTAGTAATAGTAGTAGTAGTAGTACCAGCAGCAGCAGCACAAGCAGTAGTAGTAGCAGTAGTAGCAGTAGTAGTAGTAGTAGTAGTAGTAGTAGCAGTAGTAGTAGTAGTAGTAGTATTACTAATAGTAGTAGTAGTAGTAGTAGTAGTAGTAGTCGTAGTAGTAGTAGTAGTAGTAGCAGTGACAGTAGTAGTCGAAGTAGTAGTCGGATTAGCAGTAGTAGTACTAGTAGTACTACTACTAATGGTAATCGTAGTAGTAGTAGTAGTAGTAGTCGTAGTAGTAGTAGTAGTAGTAGCAGTAGTAGTAGTAATAGTAGTAGAAATAGTAGTAGCAGCAGTAGTGCTGGTAAGAGTAGGGGTCGTCTTAAAAGGTCGTAGTTGTCGTAGTAGCCGCAGTAGTCGTAGTAGTCGTAGCAGTGGTAGTGGCAATGGTAGTCGTCGTCGTAGTCGCAGTAGTAGTCGTAGTGGTCGTACTAGTAGCACTGGTAGTAGCAGTAGTAGTAGTGATACTAGTGATAGTAGTAGTCGCACTAGTAATAATAATAATAGTAGTGCAGCCGTAGTACTCTTAGTAGTAGTCGTAGTAGCACGAGTAGTAGTAGTAGTAGTAGTAGTAGTAGTAGTACTAGTACTAGTAGTAGTAGAAGTAGTATCATAAATAGTAGTAGCGGTAATGATAGTAGTAGTAGTAGCAGCGGTAATCGTGATAGTCGTAGCAACAGTAGCAGCCGTAGCAGTACTAGCTGTAGTCGTAGCCGTAGCCGTAGTAGTAGTAGTCGTGGTGTTGGTAGTAGCGCCGTTGGTAGTTATGTTTCCGTAGTGGTAGTAGGCGCGGTAGTAGAAGCAGTAGTCGTACTTCCAGCAATCGTCGTAGTCATAGTCGTAGTCGTAGTAGTAGTCGTAGTAGTAGAAGTGGTAGTAGTAGTGGTGATAGTACTTGTAGTATTACTAATAGCGGTGGTGGTACTAAGAGTCGTAGTCGTAGCAGGCCGTCGCGATAGTAGTAGTAGTCGTAGTCGTAGTCGCAGTGGTTGCCGTAGTAGTAGTAGTAGTTATAGGAGTAGTAGTAGTAGTCGTAGTAGAAGTAGTAGTAGTGTAGTAGTACTAGAAGAAATAGAAATAGTAGGGGTAGTCGTAGTAGCAATAGTAGCAGACGCGGTAGTAGTAGTAGTAGTAGTAATAATACGAGTACTGGCAGTCGTAGCAGTAGTGTTAGAAGTAGTACCACCGCAGGTATCTATGTTGCTGGTGATAATAACGGTATGAAGCATACTAGCAGCAGTCGTGGAAATTAGTAGTAGTCGTAGCAGCGGCAGTGATAATAGTGGTAGTAGTCGTGGTTGTAGTAATAGTAGTAGTAGTAGTAGTAGTAGTAGTAGTAGTAGTAGTAGTAGTAGTAGTAGTAATAGTAGTAGCAGTAGTAGAAGCAGTGGTAGTAGCATTAGTAGTAGTAGTAGTAGTAGTAGTAATAGTAGTAGTAGTAGTAGTAGTAGTAGTAGTAGTAGTAGTAGTAGTAGTAGTAGTAGTAGTAGTAGCAGTAGTAGCAGTAGTAGCGGTAATAGAACAAATTCTACTAGTAGTAGCAGTGCGACTGGGATTGACGAAACAATGGGAATGCCAAAAGTAAGAATCGCAATGCCAAGAATGGTACTAGTAGTAGTGGCCGCACAGAAGAAGCAGGAGTCACAGGATCCTTGACGTAGCGGCGGTAGCCGTAATAGTAAACATAGCAGCGTAGTGTGTGTATCGACGGCAATGAAAGCAGAGTAGGATAACATGGTGGTAGAAGCAAGATAAAGATAGTGGCTGGTGTACAAGTAGTGGTCGTGGTAGTGGTAGTAGTAGTCGTAGGAGTAGTAGTAATAGTAGTAGCAGCAACAGTAGCAGTAGTAGAAGTAGTAATAGTAATCGTCGTCGCACTGTGGCAACAGTGGCAGCGGGAATCGTAATCCTACTAGTACTGGCAGGGTGAACAGCAAAGTAGCGGTAATACTAGAGGTGGTGGCAGTAGTGGTGGTTGAAATCCACCCATACTAATAGCAGGGCCTTGGTAGGTGGTAGTATTACTGTTGGTGTTGGTGGCGATGGCGCTGGCATTGGCCGTAAAAGCGAAGCGGCAGGTTAGTGGCGGTTGTGGTAGGTAGTGGTGGGAGTAGAAGTAACGGTAAAAAGGGTTAGTAGTAGCGGAGGTGGTAGGAAAAACAAACACTGCGGCGGTGGTAGCAGTGGCAACC